GACCTTGAGGTTAGCAGCCCAATTTGTAACCACTACGCTACCAGAGTTTCCTAATTTGGGCTGTTGTTGTTGTTATTGCCATCGAGTCCGTTCGGACCCATGTATACGGTTTCCGAGGAGCGACTGGTGAGTTTGAACCGCCGACCTTGCAGTAGGAAGACATTAAGTTGAGGTTTGTAAACTCTTGAAAAATAGTTAGGTAGTGACCCATTTCTTGAATGGTGCTGAACGTTAGAGCCGCAGTGATTAAGTGCTCAGTTGCCAAGCTAATGGAAGGGTTAACTGTGCCAGCTGTTGGTGTATGGTAAGGTGGGGTGGGGGGCTAGCAAAGCATATCGTAGTCTGTTTCTGTAAACATTTATAGCCTTGAAACCCTACGTTGTTGTTATTGTTGTTGTGAAGTGCCGTTGAGTAGATTCCAACCCATAGCGACCCTATATAGGGTTTCCGAGGAGCAGTTGGTGAGCTTGCACCTCCGACCTTGCAGTTCAGATGGCTTTGCAGTCTGGTGCATTAGCCCACAGCGCCACACAAGGACTATGGAACAGTTCATTTCTGTCCTATAGGGTCACTGGGTCAGAATTGACTGATAAGAGTGGATTTTTTTTTTTTTAATAGTGATCAGAGTCATTAGGATCAAATACCATCTATGTTCCTGATACCAAAAATTCAAGGAGTCCTGGTGTGGCGCTGTGGATTAAGGCGCCAGACTGCAAAGCCGTTTGAACTGCAAGTTTGGCGGTTCAATCTCACCAGCTGATCCTTGGAAACCCTATACAGGGTCGCTATGGGTTGGAACTGACTCAGCGGCACTTCACATCAACAACAACAAACCTGTGCATGGAGAATAAACCCAAACCACCAAACCCACGGCCATTGACTCAGTTCGGATCCGTAGTGACTCTATAGGACAGTGTAGGACTACTCCCTGTGGGGTCCTGGACTGGATTTTAAGTCTTTATGAGAGCAGACAGGCTCATCTGTTCCTGCAGAGCAGTTGATGGTTTTGAACCACTGACCTTGCAGTTAGCAGCCCAATGCTTAACCCACTACATCAAGGCTCCCTAACATGGAAAATATGTGGTCAAGTGCTGTCAATTCGCTTCTGACCCATAGTGACCCCATATAGATAGGGTTTCCGAGGATAAGCTGTTGATCCTGAACCTCCAACTTTGTGATTCAAACCAACTTTGCAGTTTAGCGCATTAATCCACAGTGGTACACCAGGACTCCAGATGCTGTGGTTGTTGTTGTTAAGTACCGTAGCGTCGGTTCCGACTCATAGTGACCCTGCACAGGGTTTCTGAGGCTGTAAATCTTTACGGGAGCAGAAAGCCTCATCTCTCTTCTGTGGAATGGCTGGTAGTTTCGAACTGCCAACCTTGAGGTTCGCAGCTCGATTCGTAACCGCTACACTACCAGAGCTCCTTAAATGCTGCAGTAGAGAGGTGAAAAAGGCAAGCTGGATCCCTGCTTTTGTGGCATATACATGCTAATAGGAGACCAATCATAAATAAGCAAGTGTGTTAATAAATAATGTTGTTGTTGTTAAGTGCCTTTGAGTCGGTTCCAACCCATAGCGACTCTGTACAGGGTTTCCGAGGCTGTAAATCTTTATGGGAGCAGAAAGCCTCATCTTTCTCCCATCGAGTAGGTGGTAGTTTTGAACTGCTGTCCTTAAGGTTCGCAGCCCAATTCGTAACCAATGGTGTGGCACTGTGGGTTAATGCGCCAGAATGCAAAGCCGTTTGAACTGCAAGGTTGGCAGTTCAAGATCACCAGTCACTCCTTGGAAACCCTATATAGGGTCGCTATGGGTTGGAACCGACTTAACAGCACTTCACAACAACAACAACAACATGCTACCTTGAATAAATAATAAAGCAGAGCAATTTTATGAGAGTATATGCAGATGATACAACCTTGCTTGCTGAAAGTGAAGAGGACTTGAAACATTTACTTATGAAGATCAAAGAGCACAGCCCTCGATATGGATTACATCTCAATGTCAAGAAAACAAAAATTCTCACCACTGGACCAATAAACAACATTCTTATCAATGGAGAAAAGATTGAAGTTGTCAAGGACTTCATTCTTCCTGGATCAACTATCAATACTCGTGGAAGCAGCAGTCAAGAGATCAGATGACGTATTGCAACAGGAACTTTTTAAAGTGTTGAAGAGCAGAGAAGTCAGCTTGAGGACTATGGTGCACCTGACCCAGGCCATGGTGTTTTCAATAGCCTCATATGGATGTGAAAGCTGGACTGTGAATAAGGAAGATGGTAGAAGAATTGATGCCTTTGAGTTACGGTGTTGGAGGAGAATACTGAAAGTGCCATGGACTGCCAAAAGAACCAATAGATCTGTTTTGGAAGAAGTGCAGCCAGAGTGCTCCTTGGAGGCCAGGATGGCTAAGCTTCGTCTCTCCTACTTTGGACATATTGTCCGAAGGAAATAGTCGCTGGAGAAGGATGTCATGCTGGGTAAGGTGGAGGGTCAGAGAAAAAGAGGAAGACCCCTAACGAGATGGATTGGCCAGGTGGCATCATTGATGGTGTCAAGTGTGGCAGCGGTAGTGAGGTTGGCCCAGGATCGGACATTGTTTTGTTCTGCTGTGCATGGGGTCGCTATGAGTTGGTTCCGACTCGATGGCACCTGACAACAACAACAAAAACATACCAATGGATAGAGTCCTGGTGTGGCACTGTGGGCTAATGCATCAAACTGCAAAGTTGTTTGAACTGCAAGGTCGGCGGTTCAAGCTTACCAGCTGCTCCTTGGAAACCCTATACAGGGTCGCTATGGATCGGAATGGACTAGACAGCATTTAACAACAACATACCAATGGATGGCACTTAACAGTAACTGAGGGAGAAAATACTAGGAGGTGGTGACGTTTGACCTGAGGGAGCTAGCTAGCTGTATAAACGTTTGGGGAAAGGCATTCATGGGAGAGGGAACAGCAAATGCAAAGACCCTAAGTCAGGGACAAGCCTGCATGTTTGAGGCACAGAAATGCCAACGTGGCTAGAGGCGAGTGGCAGAAGGGTAGAGCGTAAAGACATGAAAGTAGAAACAAGGCCCCCCCTAGGAGTCATGGAGTTTATTCTTAGCTTCATGAGATTCTGTTGAAGGGTGTAAAGCAGGAGTAGGGAAATCATTTGGTCTGGCCCGGCCAAGGCAATTACAGTTCCAGCCATTCACATTGTGTTGTTGTTGTTAAGTAGTGTGGAGTTGGTTCCCCCTCATAGTGACTCTGTGTATGGTTTCCAAGGAGTGACTGGTGAGTTTGAACTGTTGACCTTGTGGTTCAAACC